AGAAAGAAAGAAAGAAAGAAAGAAAGAAAGAAAGAAAGAAAGAAAGAAAGAAAGAAAGAAAGAAAGAAAATTTGCAGGATATATAAGTAATTCTTTAGTACCAAGTATTGGACTCTCGCCTTCAAAGCTAACTTAGAAATACTATGATGTTCCCCCTGTGTTCATGTGATCTGAACTAGGCCTTCCTTTTCCCCCATCCCCTCAAGTCCATTTAGCTGTTTCTCCTAGTAAGGACCAGCCTAGAACTAGACAAATCTGCTTTGTAATAGAATCCTGGTGATGTTTCTTCCTTCTGTCTCCTCTTGTAGCCAAAAATCTGCATGTGTCTCCCACACACAACACAGAACAATGCCAATCCTTCTATACATCAAAGGACTTTGTGCAGTGTAGAACTTTCCCTGGGGGTGTCTAGTCAATCAGAGCTCCCCTCTGGCCATCAGCATGGAGATGAGTAGACAATGAAAAAGAAAAATGTGATAAGGGGCAAAACCCCCCAAAACATTCATTTCTCTGTTTCTGCAGATCACTGGCTGGTTTCTGTACTGGGAGCATACTCTTGTCCCTCTCTGCACACACTCTCAGTTCACTTAGACCTTCTATTTGAAGGTATTCCATTTCATTTTTGGCAATTTTCAATTATCCTAGACTTATACTTCCTATATTCCATGTGCATATTATTAATGGATTTTTTACAGCTGTTTCTTTTCATTTTGAGTTGTGCCCCATCAGCAAATTAAGATCCACAAAACTACTCCTTTGTATCATCATTGTCAATTTTTCTTTGACAAGGCGGCTTTTCTCCAGTCTTGTTTTGAGTGCCTTCCAATCTGAGAGGATCATCTTCCAGCAGTATATCTTGCAGTGGTCTGTTGCTCTTCATAAGGTTTTCATTCAGAAGTAGTCCTCCTCTCCATCCTAGTCTATCTTAGTCTGGAAGCTCAGCTGAAACCTATGTATCATGGTTGGCATCTTCCAGCATCATAGCAACATGAAAACCACCACAGTATGATAAACTGATAGGTGAGTGGTGGAATTCATTACTATTAAATAAAAATTAGTCAGGGTTAAAGCAGGTGCACTCATTTGATTGCTTTGATCTTGAATGTGTGATTTGTAAGTTATGCAGGGAAACCTTTTATGTTTCCTCACATTTGTAGAAACTAAGCTGGAACTGGGTTAAACTGTCCGCAGAGAACACAATAAAATTTCAAAAGAGCAGAAGATCTATTTTATATTCTCATATAAGGGTATCAGACACTTGGAGTGTCATTTTTTCTCATTTGAACATCTGAAAGCTGAGCATCAGATCGTGCTCTTTGACTTGCTGGATAATACATACACTATTGCTGTTAAGTGCTGCCCAGTCAGTTCTGATGCATAGTGACCCTGTACAGGATTTCTGAGGCTTCAGATCTTTGCAGGAACAGAAAGTCTCATCTTTCTACAGAGGAGAGACTGGTGGGCTCGAACATAGACCTGTGAGTAACAGTCCAGTGCTTATTATATGGAGCCATGGTGTTATCAATATATATACTTGTTAAATGTCGTCCAATCAGTTCCAACTCATAATGACCCTGTAAAAAGTTTCCAAAGAGCAGCTGGTGGGTTTGAACTGCCAACTTTGTAGTTCACAATCTAGTACTACTCCCACAGCACCATATACGGAGTCCATACATACACTGGTGATGGTAGTGGTGGTGTGCTGTGGAGTCAGTTCTGACTCATAGTGATGCTTCATAGTGCTTCTGAGGCTGTAAATCTTTACAGGATCAGAAAGCCTCATCTTTCTCCTGTAGAATGGCTGGTATTTCGAACTTCTGACCTTGAAGTTAGTAGCCCAACTTGTAAGCACTATACTACCAGAGCTCCTTATACATAGACTTGAAGGTGTCATAAATCCCTGTGTGATTCCTTAGAGCCGCTAAGAACAGAGGGCTATTTGCACATTCTAGTTCAAGGGTGTATATGCAGACAAACTGTATACCATAGAGTAAAAAGTAAAGAGAGTCTATTTATCACCAGATTAAGATCTCCTTTTCTTATTTCCTTGTCAGTCTTTGAAAAATGATGAGCAGTCCTCCAAAACTGATGTTACAAAACTTCTGGAATTAGGCCAGAAACAAAGGTAAGAGTGTTTTTCTTACTCAATTATTTTTGTCACGATAGCTTGTGTTGAGATTTCGTTTTCCGCATTTAATCTTTGTAGACAGCATTCAAGGGCAACAGTAAAAAGAGGGACAAAAGTCTTGATATTTTATATCACATAAATCATTGAGTGATGCTTTCTATATTTTACTAAACAACTGGGAGTAAGAAGATAATTAATTCCATAGATTACAGTAAATAAACCCAAGTGAAGTTTCAGAATGTGTTTAAACTCCTAGTTATCTGAAACACTTTTCCATACTTGAGTGGGTTCTCAAATGGGTTTGTCACCACAAACCAATAATATAAACTATACATTTGAGTAAAATATACATTTTTTCAAATGTATAGTTTACACTATAGGTTTGTGATGAGTCTTGAGATTCTAAAGTTTGAATGAGCTCTATAAATGCTGATGTTATTTGTCTACAGATCACAATTAGAATGTTACAGATCTATAATACTTTAACCCTATTTATCTTGGTAAGATGTCCTTACTTAAGTCTTCTTATCAAAAGACAGTTCTGTGGACCATTTTCAATTGAATAAAAACTTATCATAGTGGTAATAGCAATAAAGACAGGTTAATCTTATTAAACATACATGTAGAATTAATATAACAGTATTAGTGATATTTTTTAGTGTACTTTGGGGAGCTATTTAAAACTATTATGAAATAATATTCTGCATGTTGTAAAAGGCCATATGATTCTGAAGTTTTTGTCAAAGCAAAAGAAAATGAAAGTCAAGACACTTTAAGGGAGAAACAAGTAGGCATTTATTATGCATTTACTACCAGCTCAGCTAAATTATTATACACATTGTCTTGCTTAATCCTCATAACTGCTTTATAAATTATATATATTTTTCTCCCTTTGTATATAGGAGGTTATTGTTGGAGGTGCTGTTGTTTTCATTGTTAAGTGCCATTGAGTTGGTTCTGATCCATAGCAACCCAGTAAGGGTTTCCAAGGAGCAGCTGGTGAGCTTGAACCACCAACCTTGCAGTTCTAATGACTTTGCAGTCTGGTGCATTAACCCACAGTGCCACACCAGGACTCATGGAAGTGCTGAGAGCAAGGTTCATTGGAATTTAGAATTGAACTTTCTGTCATGTCTTACTCTAAGATGGATGGCACAGTGTCAGAAGTGATGGGCTCAGGCGTAGCAACAATTGTGAGGTTGGCCCAGGACCAGGCAGTGTTTCAATTTTTTGTACATAGGGTTGCTATGAGTTGGTGCTGACTTGCTGGCACCTAACAACAACAACATGTAATAGTCTCAGAAGAGTCCCTAAGTCAGTGAATAAACTTTTAAACCGTACCATGTGAGGGATGATAATGTGCAAAAGAGAAACAAGTGTCTTGAAATAGAAGACACAAATAAGCTTTATTCTCTAAGGTTTATGGTTGGATGGCGTTTCCTGAAAGGCAGTTTTTGACTCAGTGTAGTAAAGAACTTTAAAACAGTATTTCCTAAAAACTGAAATAGTAATGGCAAGTTCTCCATCCATTATTAAATAATATTAAAATACAAGCTGGTGACCACTTGAAAGAAATGTCATCATGTAGAGTGATATGGGAGTCCTGGTGTGATGCTGCAGGATAATGCGCTGAACCACAAGGTCAGTGTGAACAACTAGGTCCGTGTGAACCACAAGGTCAGTGTGAACCATAAGGTCAGTGTGAACCACAAGGTCAGCAGTTCAAACCTACCAGCTGTTCCTCAAACACCCTATATAGGGTCCTTATGGGTTGGAACCAACTTGATGGCACTTAACAACAAGTGTGGTATGAGTGACTATTTTTATATTTGTTTTGGGGGATGGAAGGGGTACAAAATAGCCATGATTTAAGATTCCTTTTAGGATGAAATTCTATGCTAAGATACACTTGATATTTGAGTAACCAATCATAGATGACACTTGTTGTTTTTAAGTGCCATCAAGTCAGTTCAGAGCCATAGCGACCCTTTATAGAGTTTCCAGAGTTGTTGGTGAGTTTGAACCACCGACGCTGCAGTTTAAACTGACCTTGCAGTGCAGCCCGTTACCCTGCAATGCCACACCAGGACTGCATAGATGACTCTAGAGTCATCAATTATTTATAAATGAACTTCAGATCAGTGTCCGATAGAGCCCTAGGATAGCTGCACAGAGATTAGACAAGTCACATTGGTGATGAAATGTAACCCCAAAGCAAGTCAGTAATCATCTCTCCTAAGAGCCTATCTTAGTCAGCACGTGAGGCATGGATGTAGGTCTGTCTAAAATATGAGAACAGTAGCATGTTCAGAAATAAAGTTGTAAGTTAGAAAAGCAGATGGAAAGAGTAAAAAGACAAAAAGACAACTTTTGCCATCTGATAGCTACTTTTACAAGGCATGGAAATGCACAGAGTTCTCTACTTTCTCCAGTTCTTTTGAACACATTTTAGTCTACATTTGCCTATAGTTGTTAGTGTGGCATGTTTAAAAATAAATATATTTCATTTTGGAAAAAAATATTTAAAAGAACATTTTAAAATCTAAGTAACTTAAATTAAAAACAAGAGTTACTATAATTTTTTTTTTTTCCTGTTGGAAATAAAATACTTTATGTTTTGCTTCAGTGCTGGCCTTCCTTCTTTCTTTGTTTTCTTCTTTCATTCTTCCCCTCCTCCTTCCCTACCAAATTCCTTCCTTCTTTATTTTCTTCCTCTTTCCCTGACCCTCTTCTTCTCTTACTCTTTGTAATGTTGTTGTTCTTAAGTGCGTGGAGTCGATTCTGATCTATAGCCACCCTGTTTAGGGTTTCCAAGGAATGAGTTATGAGCTTGAACCACCAATCTTGTAGTTCAAACAGCTTTGCAGTCTGGCGCATTAACCCACAGTGCCACACCAGGTAGTATAATGACTCTCTAGAGTTTGAGAGCATAGGCTCTGGAATCGAGACTTAAGGTTAGATAAAAGCTGTATCACCTCTCTAGGCATAGTTCTCTAACAATAATATGATGCCATCAGTTGATATGAGATTTTAAAAAGTACCTGCCACAATTATGAGTCTACAGTACATGCAGATGGTACTATTTTATTTTACATCACAAATGTTCTTTTTGGAAAAATCAGAAATCATAATGGAAGCCCAGATTTTAAATGTCTGTATGAGAACCAAGTCTACAAATGAAATCTTGTCGAAGTAATAATGGAGGTTGATGTGATGCATAAAATCCACTCCAAGCAAAAGAATGTTATGATAAGCTTCTCCCTAGCAAAGATTAAAACTTTCCAAACCCAAAAGGCTTGGAACTTGTTCCAATTATACTATGCTTTGCCAAAAACAAAAGTCTAAATTGATTCCAACAACTATGCATATTCTCATTCATCTTCTTGAAATTAAGTCTAGATTTTCTAGATTAAGAACTGTGGGAGTTTCACTGGCTTTCCCTGGAAGACAGAACAGTTTGATGTTGTTTAGAAAGTGTAGTCAAAGAGTAAGCATAGGGACCTAGAGTGGCTGTTGGCGGTTGTGATAATAATCAAAATTTTATCATTGTGTTAAGTGTTGCTTGCATTTGTTTTTAAACTTAAAAATCCATGAAGTAGTTTTATGACTGTGACTATTTTATAGATAAAGACGCTGACTGTGAGAAGGTTTGCATAACTTGTCCAGGTTCTAGAGATAGTGTTTCAATATTACATTGGAAATGTTAAACTAGTCTGGGTGCTGGTAAGACTAGAATAGGTATCTGTGGTGTTACTGTTGCTTTGTGGGTATCTATTCCTCTATGCAGAATTCACACACACACATACACACACACACTAAATTTTAATTTTTGATACCTTTTGAGTGATTCATTTAGATATATAATCAGAACACAGAAAGATAATTTGAATTGTCATAAATGAGTAAATCCTCAGCTCTCCAAATAATTCTGGTTTTGCTATGTACAACATCATCCATATTTATTAATGATCTTGAGACAAAATGTATGCGTATGCATATACATATATATAAATTTATATGTATTTGCCATCAAATGAGGTAGATCTCAAGTTAGAAATACATTTATTTTCACTTTATTTTTATAAAAATATTCAAGCTTCAAAAGGATGTCTAAAACACAATGCTTTAAACTGAATAATTTAGTTGCATTCCACCATCTTAGCAACTTCTTAGTCACCTGTCTCTGACCTCCCCCACCTCTGTTGAAATGGGTCCCAACTGTTCTTGCACCACTGTTGGCTCCTGTGTATGCACTGGCTCTTGCAAATGCAGAGTGCAAATGCACCTCCTGCAAGAAGAGCTGCTGTTCCTTTTGCCCCATGGGCTGTGCCAAGTGTGCCCAGGGCAGCACCTACAAAGAGGACATATAAAAAGTGCAGTTGTTGCGTTTGATGTGAGAGAGTCCAGTCCGGATGTACAAAGATGGAGTTTTCTTTTTAAATAACCAACCCAGACCATTTTGATATATTCCATTTTTGTTGAAATTTGTGAATGACAATAAATACACCTTGATTTAAAAAAAAACAAAAACAAATAAAAAGTAAAATTTATCAGTTTGGATTTTTAAAAGAGAATAAAAATGTTATTCAGCTAATTAGTGTTGAGTAACTTTTTTTTCACTGACATGTTCAGAGATAGGCATGCTGTTAGTAAAATTAGCTTTACAACTCAAATTATTATATTGACTTGATTTCACATATAATGCAGCTCACAAATGATTCACACAGTTGGTTTTTTATCTGACCCACTAGCTAAGTGATTTCTTTTAAACTTAGCTTGTTTTTAGTATTTGCAGGGGATGAAAGACCCTTGATTGCCAGACTCATTAGATATGGCCTGCATGTTTAATGGTGGCTTTGTACAATTTATTTATCTGTTTCCTAAATGCAGGTAGAAAATCAAAACTTTTATTTCTAATGTACAGAAATAAAAGAATTATGTTTCTTTTTTGTTTTATGTTTTCTATCAAACTAGAGAAGAAATGAAGTCGCTCCAGGAGGCCCTTCAAAATCAACTTAAAGAGACCTCTGAGAAAGCAGAAAAACACCAGGCTACTGTGAGTGTTTCCCTCTTTGCCTTTTGCTTTTAGATCTAGGGAATTGTTATTTTCTTTTTCCAAAAGAGATATAGAGTGAACTCACCTATAGAAACAAAAATACAATAAAATCAAAATCAGAAAAATATTTTCCATGACAAGTAATGGCTCAATTCTGGATGTTGAGAGAGTGATTTTCCTCACACACACAGAGAAACATCTCTGCTAAATAAAATTAGTTCTACATTAGCACATAAGCATCTCTGGTGACACAACAGTTAAGTGCTCTGCTGCTAACCAAAAGACTGGCAGTTCAAAGCCACTCAAAGAGTCTATTGGATAAAGATTGGCTTCTATTAAGATTGTTGTTGTTAAGTGCAGTTGAGTCCATTCCAACTCATAACTACACTATACAGAGTTTCTGAAGAATAGCTTGTAGGTTTGAACCATTGACATGGTGGTTCACAGTCTAGTGTTTACACTACAACACCACACCAGATTACAGGCAAGAAAATTCTGTCCAATTTCATCCCTGAGTGGAAAACAACCCCAAGACTCCATCAACAAAAACTAGCTAATGTCATTCTCACTCTTGCTCTCCTTCCTATTTCAATTTCATATCCATCTCTTGTTGTTGTTAAGTGTCTTGGAGTCTGTTCTGGCTCATAGCGACCCTATATACATTGCTGAAGAGCAGCAGAGAACTTGAACTACTGACCTTAAAGTTCAAACAGACCTTGCATTATCCCACAGCACCACATTACCTAGATAATTATAAGCAAACAACTTTTATTTTTCTAAGGCTCAGTAAGCAGGTCAATATAATTAATATCACAAATGCATTTCCTAATTATATGAGATGATGCATGCAAAGGGTTGAGGACAGAGCATATTGGGTTGTAAGCAACCTCAGTGCTTATCCTAATGCTACCAATAATACATAATTATCCTAATGCTGCCAATTACTCGTAATTGGTACTATTAGGATAAGCATTAGTATCACTACTCATTGTTTTTTTAACAATTGAAAAACTTTTTTTATCTGTTAAAATCATGGCAAGAACTATCAAGAATCGGTAAAAATAAATATCTGACAAAAAGACAAACATTAGATATGACCATGTTCATAATTTACAATGCTCTATTACCTCAGCACCACTTGTAGTGTTGTACAAAGTCATCTTGTGATGTCAAAACATAATTAGCCAATATATGTTCTTTGACACAAATTTTATTCATTAGATACTGTCAGGTTCCCAGATAATTAGTACCATTTTGTTTTATGAGAATCAGATATTGTATTTATCCATTTGAGATTAGGTTAACCATGGCTTATTAAAGTCATTATTTGATTTTTGAGGTGAGTTTTTAAGCAATTGGCTTGTATATTCTTATATAATGACTGTTTCTTCATTTTATGTTTGATATTATGGTAAATTCTTTTTCAGCACAATTTAAAATGGTATATTTACATGTTTTATATATACATACGTATG